CCTACTATTCTGTGGTTCTGTGATTCTGAGTCCCTCCTCAGCCTGGCCACCAGCCTGCTCTGTAACCCAGCCTTAGTGCTCGTCCCAAGGCACTCCCAGCGGCTGTCGCGAGGGCAGGTTTGGGGTACGCCATGCACCTTCCTTCCCGCCTTCCCCCAGCAGACCTGGACCCAGCGCTCATCACCTTGGCTGTGGCCACGTGCATTTTTTTGGTCCCCTGTGTTTTTGCATCTCAGTGGCCTCTCCAGAACCATACACCCTCCCCAGCGAGAGCTTCACCCCAGCAGTGGTCGGGGCTCCGAGGGCAGGGCACGAGCCGTTGCCACATCCCTGCAGTACCAGCTAATTCTTACAAGGGAGCAAATCAGGCCCACAGTGAGTTCATCATTTTTCCAATATAGCTCCCAAATGAGAAGCGATTCTGCATTTCCTGGATGGATTTGCTTGGGTACATGCAGGCTTCTGGTGGCTGGTTCTGGTGGCTTTTTGGTGCTGTTTTTCACTGTAACTGTCGTGCCTCTTAATGCAGATGGACACAAGTTCTTCTCTTTTCTACAGATGCCTCTATTATTCTGCAGCCTGCTGATTCCCCTCTACGCTGTATGATGCCTGAGGAGACTTTTCCAGCTGAGATGATGGGTGTGACTCTTTTGCAGCCTCACGCTGTGCCTTTCTTCCCTTGCAATGGCACAAAGTGCAAACCAAGAGCTCCCGCTCGCGCTCCCACCGTGTGCGGGAATCAGCCGCCGCCGGAGCCGTGTGGCACAGGACAGTCAGGCCCTGGTTTTGTTTACTCAGCGCACGGCTGGAAATGAATCCCATGAGCCCACCCAGACCAGAGGTTTGCTGAAAAACACATGTCCATTTGCCCGCTGCGCAGCTGTGCCACGGGGAGGGAGCTCACAACCTCCTCCCATCACACGGAGGGATGCAGAAGAGTCACAGCCTTCACAGTGGTCGGCGTGGCCTTCAGCCTGGACCTCACCCTCCTCAGTTCTGATGCTTAAATACCCAGTTTTGGGACCTGCTTCGCAATTCTGAACGTGCGCTGCATTTTTAATTTGTATTAAAGATGTGCCTATATGGGCTGATCTTCATCCCTGGCTAGCACGTGAACAGAGCAGGAGATCACACATGCTCTGAAAAGCTTACGGAGTAAAGATTGAAGGATTAGAAAAAAAATGGCATAAATGACCCAGCAGCTGATATAATGAAACCTCAAGCCCATTCTTCTTCCCTAAGGGCACCCCTGAAGCTTTACACGCATGCACCCCTCCCCCAAACAGCCCCCCAGATGCTGCTGGTAGCCTTGGAGGGACCAGAGCTGCACCTTCCCCTACCTCGACCCGTGTGAACCTTCGTGATGGGCTCAGCCTTGGGGTCCCAGGGCACAGGGGTTTGTACTGGGGAGAAGGTGGGAAAGCCTCCGCCCCCAGCCCGTAACCATCTCGCAGCTCTCACCTGAGGATCCGCGAGGCGGCACGTTTCACCCTAAGCAAATCACCTTAAAGAGGAAGGTTCGAGAACTGTTTATTATTGGAAATGTCTCCCTCTCTAGGACTCCTTTTTTGATAAATTAGCCTCAGCTTCATTACTTCATGATATATTTCCCTTGACATTTAATTATACTTACCCCAAACACATTAAGCCAATCAGTCTGAACAGCTTCTTATTAACATGCAAATTTCTCCTTTGAAAAGCCATGAATCTATGAAAAACTCTCTTTAGGCTTCCATTAGGCCCATTTGGGAAGTTGGGAACCCCCGGAAACGCCCTCCTGGTCCAAGGCCGGAGGGGACCAGGGGGCCCAGACCCACAGGCACACCCCGGTCCCTGGCTTTGGGGTGGGTGAAGGGGATGCTGCCATCCACCAAAGCACCTTCACGGGCCTGGAGCCACGAAGATGGGAGGCTGAATCATGCAAACCAACATGGTGCTGGCGGCTTATCCCCATCCCAGCCCTTCTCCGTGGGAACTGCTGTTTCTCCTCTCCACCAGCCCTGGAGATACGGCGATCCTCTGCTGCGCACCGCGACACCGTCTCGCTGCAGGGGAGCTTCACGTGGGAGCTGCAGAAGACGCAGTGAAATCTCAGCCCAGTTTTTAGCAGAACAAACAGGAATCCGGTTCCCCCGGCGCCATGGGCAGACGGGATGTGATTTGCATTAGGCAAATAAATTGAACCACACAATTAACCATCTGCCCTGGAACAGCTTTAGGTTTTGCTTTAAAGCACCACTTCCAGCCTCCCTCTGCTCTCGTATCCGGCTGAACACCACAGGATTTTCTACTCGGAAACCAAAAGGGAATAAATTCACTGAATCATTCCTATAAGTAACTGCAGAGAACCACCAGCGTAGGTACGAGAGCCGCGGTGGCCTCTGGCCTCCGGGACGTGTTTCCCGTGGATTGCCCCAACGGACGAGTCACGAAGCTGCTTCAAACCCTTCCAGAGTCTCCAGCTCCCACCGAAAGCCTCCACTTGCTACAAGATGATTTCTGGAAAGCTGCTGAGTGCCGCGGCATCTTCTCAAGAAAAAGTTACTCATTTCATCTTACTTAAAAAGAGGTTGTCGTTTTTAAAAAATACGATTCGGTGTAATTTTTTTTATTTCCTACAGTTAGACATCAAGATCAGAAATACACTGCAATCAGTGTACTATATAAATAGTCCAATTTTGGAAAACAGCTCTCATGAGCAATAAAGCAACCCAATTTACTATGCGCTATAATAAAAATATCTCTTTTAGCATATAAATCAAACCAGAGTGAACAGATAAAAAAATAAACTCAACCTCCCTGGTTTTTGCCTGAGAGCGCAGGCAGCCGGCCCTGAGGAAGGGCTCGCCTGCCCTATATAAATATATGCAAGAGCAAATCTGCTAAAAATTGTAGCCACCACTTTATTTTCTAAAGGTCCCAGTTTATCCTTCGACAGAAGAAGGAGGGCTGGGGAGAGGTCGGCGAGAAACACAATCCTTTCCTGTATAAACAGTATAGACTGTGCTGATTTTAAGTGCATCATATGGCATATATTTTATGTGTGTATATAGAGAGAGAAAGAGAGATTTTTCAAGCCAGCCAGAGACATGAAGTGATCCTATATCATCTAAAACAAACAATCGTACTTGGACTTCTGGCAGTTTTCCTTGCAGTCGTCCCTGCCACCCCCCCTGCCCCTTCCCCCATGGGCTGTTGGTGCGCGCTGCCGCCTGGCCCCATTATTTGTCACAAAGGCATATAAATCACTGGGGAAACTGTTTTTATCTTATTTTCCCTCTGCTTCCCCCTTGTCTGTTTTGAGAAAAATTAATGCATTTGTCTCCAGAAAAATGTGCAGTCTCTATAATTCAGTTTTAAAACAAGCACAACTAGCAAATGGATAGACCTTGGTTAGGAGACTCATTTTTCATGCGAGTAATTGAAGCCTTCCCTTCGATTTTTCCTTTGGGTGTTAAAGACAACTGATGCCTTCCTGGAATTTGCTGAGGTCTACAAAAGGTGGAAAGACAGACAGACAGAAAAAGCAGAAGAGAGAAAGAAAGAGAAAGACAGAGATAAAGGGAAAGAAAGAAGAAAAAGATGAAAAGAAAAAAGAAGATAGAGAAAAGAAAGAAAAAAGAGAAGGAAGGAGAAGGAAAGAAGGAAAAAGAAGAAAGGGAGAAAGGGAGGAAAGAAGGAAAGCAGAAGAAATGGAGAAGCGAAGTCTGAAGCTCATCTCAAAGCATCAGCTGCCTCTGCAGAGGGAACTCTGGGGAGCCCCCAGGAGAACATCCCAGCCGGGATTTTTCCCAGAGCTGGCAGTGCTTTGGTTTGAAAGCCCCCTCGCTGGCCAGGCTGGTCAGGAGACCCATCCCCACCAGGCACCCCGACAGCCTCTGCCTTAACCCAGCCCTGCACCCCGGCTCTGCTGCCCGCAGACCTGGGGACCAACAGCCCCGCCGTGTCCTGCCGGCACCCCAAGCCCCAGACGTGGCGTGGGGGGAAGCACCCCGCGCGGGTAATGCCGCTGGTTTCATCCTGATGCTTCTTCCTGCACCCAAAACTCAGGGACTCTCTGCTGCTTCCCCCTCCCTGGCTAGCGGCACCCACCCCTAAACGGGAACGCGGATCCACACAGTTCTCCGGGCAAAGTCCCTCAGACAGCAGCGTGTTCCTCCAGACCACAAAAATCACAGCCAGCTTTAAGCTCATCCCCATCCCTTGTGCTGCGGGGCTGCTGGGCTGAGCAAGAGTCTCCCCCCACGAGCAGTGCGTACAACAGGGGCTCCCGTACAAATCGATGCTCGCCCCCGGACCGCATCCTGACCCCCCGTCAGCTCCCAGGCCCGATTCACCACTGACGCAGAGGAAGCCAAGAGTAATTCCAGAAAAGCCACCATCAAGTGAGCGCTCAGGCCAGCGAAGTCTATTGTTCCTTTGTCTCTCACTATATT